GAGGCCGGCCGGCGATAAATATAAGTACACACACCCACACCTACACACACACTATCGAGCTGTCGCGTCGCGTATTTCGAAGATTAATTATTATTACTTATTATCACTCAGTGGAACTCGCGCCCTGGGATAGAAAATTGAGTCTGCATGCTTCTCATGCAGTGGCGCCCTGGGCAACATTGTACTTAATTGATTATCAAATCTACAATACATTTCTTCCTATTATTTAACTATTACATGATTGTGTCATCATTATTTATTTCGACCCTCCACCAAAATCCCTCACAACACATATTCGCAAAATTTTGTGACAAATGCCAATGCTTTGTTGTTGTTGTTGTTTTTTTTTTCTTTTAGTATACGCTAGAAATTTTGGAGATGATGGTCATGTCAAGTGGCGAGACTTTTACTTTACTTGTCTTTAACAAGATTTCCCATGTGCTGTAAACTTCTTTTATTAACAATTAGAGTAAGTATAAACTGTTTGGAATTCATGCGATCAAGTAAAAATTAGTAGTAACATAGCAAATTCATCAACAGGAAAATTCATCTTGGCCTGGATGAAATCATCATATGGCTTGATTTTTATGCATTTATTTTGATGCAAATAGACTGGCCTCAAGAATAGTGCCATTATATCATTATTGCACGATAGAGATTTCGAATGAAAGGTCATTTCATTATTCAGCTTTTCAGGTTTATCTTATCAATGTAGTAGATATTTTGCAAGAATTTACATATTTATGGACAGAGCATGAAGAAAATGCACACTTAAATGTTGGTGGAGGTATTGAGAGCGTATAGAGTAGGTTTATTATTATTTATTATTTGGTATACTTTGAGCAACAAATCAGAATATGTTTTTTCTAAAATAAAGATGATAAAGGTTCATCAAACATAAATTTTGTAACATAAACTTTTTGTTACATAAATAGTAATGAACTGAAAATATTATTCATCTTTCACCCTCTATTTATAGGCTTTGACATTTTCATAATCATAATAATAATAAGTAACAGTAATTGTATTATAAATGTTTCATACTCCAAAATTGTATAAAATACCTGATTAGATATATATTTATAATAAGCTTTTATGTATTATCAAGATTACACTGATGAATAACAACGGTACGTCACAAACAAACCAATGTTCAATAATTAATAACTTTTCCTTCCTATTGAAATTGTTGCTTATCGCTTTATTTTACCATCTAATCTTTATAACACTAATCCTACCAAATACTTTTGTTTTTTTCATTTTTATGTTATTTGTTTTTGTTAATATTCTTTGCAACAAAAAATTAAATCTGGAAACAAAATTAGTAGTGGTTCATTCAGTAATTAAAGTTGCACAAATTATAAATGTAACAAAAAAAATACACGCACAAAGTTATCTTGAAATAACAATTTTTATTAAAATGAGTAAACATTCCATTATATAAAATTAAGATTTTTTTTATGATTTTAATGCAGCAAACCTGAAAAAAATTTACGCACTAAATTAATCTTTCTTACCGACAGATCTCGATATTTCACTAGTTTTTTGTAACCGCGCATCACAACTTGCGCAGGCAACCTCATTACGCTATATTTGCGTTTTTTTTTTGGGAAACGAATCGTTTTACACATAGTGTACATGAAAAAATAGTCCTGACTACGGGAAGTTAAGCTCCGATAACGATAGTAGCCTTCAGAATCAACATGGACGTCTATTTTTTATTTTTACGTAGTAAAATAATCGTCACCTTTCAAATTAATGTCGTAGAAATAAAGCGGTAATATAGGCGATGCCAATGTCAATTAAATAAAAATTTACGGTGCATGGAAGTTAATAAACACACACTTCCATTACCTAGTCAACGTTTCGCCGAACATCTTGGTCAGCTTCTTCAGGACTGATGTGCTGACTATTACAGCTCGTGTACATAAGTAGTTCTTTATAAATATATCAAGAATAAATAACAAAAACCGCTGCCAATTTATTGTCAAGGAGCTTCCTCCAAAGATGGTTTTTAGTTACTGTTAAAAATTTTAAAAATTAAATTTTTTTTTCTGCCTTGAAATTGAGTAAGAGCAAAGATTACTTTTAGGAATTGAGAAAACGGCTTGTTTCTTGATTTTGTTATGGTCTTAGGACCGTAAAATAATTGTTAGAAAATTTTTTTTTTAACTTGAAAAAAAAAATAAAAAAAAATGAAAAAAGAAAGAAAAAAAGTGTGTAAAATACTTTATTAATTTGTCAAAGAGAAATTCAGCCAGGTATTCTTGAGAGTTTAAGCAATTCGGAAATACAACAACAAAAAAATTGATTTTTAGACCGAGCTTGATGAGAACCTCCCCTTAATCGAGAAAATTTTATACATTCGACAATAAATGTAATTTAATTCAACACGATTCACCGTACCGTTTTCCTGATAATGCTTTACACATGTTACACACACAAACACACACATATTTTTTGAATCATCGAAAGTGAGCTTCTTGATAGATGTATGGAAAATTATCATTGTTGTTAAAAAATATCCTTTCAAGCTCTCTTGCCGCATAATACATAGACGTCCGATACTAGAGGCTATGAACTAATTTAACAGCCCGGCTTCTCGACTTTTTTCCATGTATTATATATATAAAGCATACAACAATTTCAGGAAAATCCGTGAACCTCATCTGCAGATTTATTTTATAAAATCTGAATTTGACCCACGTATGATTAAATCTCATGAAATTTTAATTTTTTTTCTATCGAAAACCAAAATTTTTTTTTTGGAGCTAACTTCTTTAGATTTTTTTCAGAGACTTACAAGTGATTCAGAAACAAAAAAGGAGTGCTCATCGAATGCAAGTGAGGGCCTTCGAAGATTTAAAAAAGTAAATGTTAAAGCTGAAGCTGATGAAACATATTTTTAAGACAATATAAGCTCCTAAATTTGGTGAAAATATTAATTTTTCGTCATTGAAAGCAAAACTATTGACGTGCAATGCAAAAATTTGATGAAAATGCAATCAAAATAAACAGCGGGCGAGAACAAAGCTCATGTTTATATCATGCATAACTTTTTTAAAAAAAACACGCCTTCCACAAATAGATATACCACTTAACTCTACCATTCAATAACTATTTTTTCCCATAATTTGATGATAATTTGTAGTGGGGCCTTTTGGGATGATAAGATTTTATAAAAAAATCGTTAAAATACGAAAAATCGAGTTGAATTTTGAGCGTAGAAGGCTCGGATACCATTCAGTAATATTTTTCTCAAAAGTACAGTTTCTAAACATTGTTTATTAATGATTTAGATAAAAAGTTGAAAATTTAATTTAAATATTACCAGGAATGGCAATTTTTAAGTTTCTGAGCGTGAAATAAGTTTTGAACTCATTTGATTAATAATAATTATCATTAAATAGTAAAGTAATGTTCAGATATTGTTTGTATTTTACATAAATAATTTCATCATCTTAGGTATCATCTTAGGTTTTTGGATCATTGAAATTTAGAGAACTTACATTATGGAATGGAACTGCTTTTTTGCCTTACCTGATAACTATAAGCGAGAGTTTATACTATATTTTATGGGATCATATTATTTCAGATGCATTTTCAAGTTTAGTGAAACAATGTGAGGGAGTGTGAAAGTAAATCCGTTATAAGTATGTGGCATTTCACGTCAACTCTCCCAGTGCCGCGCGGCGCGGCAGAATTAAGCCAAATCACTAAATTTGTGAATCGCTGTAAAAGTACTAAAATGCACCTATAGAAAAAAACGAACCCATGATTTCGATGGGAAGTCGTCTCGTCTTTCCGATGGTGAGGTTAGATTTTCCGAGATTTACCGCTTTACCCAGGAAAATCTCTGGGAAAACTTTGAAGTAGATTATCTCAAAAACTTCATTTTTAAGATTTTTTTAAATAGTCTAGATCGAAAGATCAAGAAATTTTCCATCGATAGAGACCTTTGCGAGAGAGGCATTTTTTGATTTTAGCGAGATATAGCGAGAGAAAGAAGAAAAAACGTGGTTTTTTGTTAGATTGGTGATGTCCGACCGCCCGCGCGCGCGCGAGAAAACCACGTTTTTTCTTCTTTCTCTCGCTATATCTCGCTAAAATCAAAAAACGCCTCTCTGGAAAAGGTCTATATCGATGGAAAATTTCCTGATCTTTCGATCTAGACTATTTTAAAAAATCTTAAAAATCAAGTTTTTGACTTCAAAATTTTCCCAGCGATTTTCCCGGGTAAAGCGGAAAATTTCGGAAAATCTGACCTCGCCATCGGAAAGCTGAGGCGATTTCCCGAATCATCGAAATCATGGGTTCGTTTTTTCTCTAGGTGCATTTTAGTACTTTTACAGCGATTCACAAATTTAGTGATTTGACTTAATTCTAACGCACCGCGCGGCACTGGGAGAGATGACGTGAAATTCCACGTATATTCTCATAACAAATTAGGGGAGAACCAGGTATTTCGTCATGAAGATGAATTGGCCAAACGATCATAAAAAATTCTAAATTTATTGAATTTTCGCAATATTGGGGTATATTAAAATAGCCGTATCTTCGTGTAAAATACATGTAGGAACAATTTTAGTTACACATTTTTAGAAGTCTAGCGAAAATCTACAAATCAGTAGGCTTATAATGTTTCTACAACCTCTTTAACTAAAATAACAAGAGAAATAGTCAAGACAAGAAGAACCAATATTTCCGATTAGTTAATTGCTGATAATGATAATTTTATATAATTTTAAAGTGCTCACCAAGAAATTTTGAATGGTGCTTTCGAAATTTCGATCCAACCTTTCTAGACTTAGCTAAGACGCTTTGAAGTTTACACATTTTTCGCCAAGGTATGGCATGAGCAATTAACGGACAGTGCACATACACACAAAATTAAACAATGTATTTTTAAGATTTTACTGTTAATACTATAAATATGAAAATTAAAAAAACTAAGTTAGTTTGTAATATTTTTTTCTGTTTTGGAAATAAAAAGGCACATCAGAGTGTAATCAATATTATTTTACTTACAATTGTACAATTTTGACGCAAACATATAATATAAAGTATTCATATAGATAAAATACAGTCTTGACTCACTTTAACAGTGAGCATCATCAACATTGTTATGGTTACATTGAAAATTGAATGAAAATGCAAAAAATTAAATTAAAAAGTATATACTAGTCATCAATAAATGATAAAGTATTTTCTAATTTTTACACCAACTCTAATAAAATTATAAAATTTTAATTTGTTTTGTCAACTATAAGTATGCTAATGAGATCTTTGAATCTCATAAATTTATAATTATAACGTATATCTTTCCAACTCCATTTCTAATCTTTCTGTCAACCAATATTCACCATGAGCTTTACGTAAAATTTTTTCCATTGTGATTAATTTTCAGGCTATAAATTCCATAATCATTATCACAGTCAAAATTACTTATTGATTTGAAATTTATTTTGTATCTTGTTAGAAGCATCACTGCCTATGCATTCTGAAAATAAATTATTCATTATTGAAACAATTTGTAATAAAATGTGATTGAATAGAAAAATTGAAACTGTAATCTTTTTAATTAAAGTAGCAAAATTGTTCTGGCATTTATGCTATAAAATGTGACATGCAACTTGTGTGAATAAGCTTTTTCAGCAAAACTCGTTACAACACTTGCCTTCGGCTCGTGCTGCAATCCCTCATTTTGCAGAAAAAGTATATCCACACTCGTCGCATGAAGTACAATATCAATGTTCTTTTTGAAAGTACATAATTAATTTGGACTCCACTTGGTTTGCTTATGCATTTCATGAAATTCAAACTTATATAAATAAAAAAATTTTTCTAAAATAATTTTTTTTCTTTTGATTTTTGACGTTTATTAAAAATTAAAAATATAACTCATTAATTGAACGCTCATTTTTATCTATCTCTTGAAAATAAATACCACTCAATAAAGAATAATTTCATCGGTACCATTAGTGTCCACTATTGAGATGTTTAAATGTATTAGGGATTTTCTGCCAATAAAAAAACCGAAGGTGTCATAGAGCAAATTAAAATTTTTCCTTAAGAACTAAAATTTTCTTCCACAATTTAAAATATAGTAAAAATTATTTTTGAGTTAATAGTACTTACTTTCTTCAATATGAGCTCCTTCATGTGCTAGAACAGGGCTTATCAAGTTACTTCCACTGATTGGAGTAGAATTTGCTTTGAGTTTTTGGCGAACCTCACGAATTTTCAGTTGTAAGCTCGTTTTGTTAGGAAATATATCAGCGTGCTTTGATTGAAAAACCGATGTAGCCTGAGTAGATGGAAAATATCCATGCTCTTGAAATAACTGCATTACAAGTAATCTTCTATGTTCTAGGACTTTTTTATGTCCACGTTCATGATCTTTGGAAAAACATGACACACTAGTAGATGGCGTTTTGGGAGTTATAGGAGAATTATTTTCAGTTTCAGCATTCGATTCAAGGTGGCATTGATATTCATCTGCGTTGAAATCAGGCCCAAAAAATGTATTCCCAGTTAATTTTATTTCTGCACTGTTATTGCATCCATTTATAGTACAAGCATCGGATTCTAATTTGTTTCCTATGCATAAAACATTACGTAGGGTATTAATAGAGAAATAAATAATTAATATAGAAATAAAATAGTCGAGTTATTTTTTATTTAAAAAATCTAAAAAATCTTTGATTGTATTTCACAAAAGATTCAGGGCTTATGAAACAACTATTAAAAATTACAAACAATTATCAGCGATGTTCTGATTTGAAATGCATAGCTATGCTTTCAAATTAATAACGAAAGTTTAAATCACCTTAAATCGTTTATAGCACTGTGTGGCATAAGTTCACATTCTTGGCACGCTTTTCTGTGGCATAAGTCGCTCATTCTGGCACTGCTGCGTTCGCATCGCAATCGCATACGCTCGTGCGCTAACCTCACTTCGCGCTACCAGAAAGTGCGACTCATGACTCGGAAAAGGGGAAATAAATGTGAAATTAGCACAGTGCTATAAAATGTTGTTCGATACTCGTGCCATGGGGACACTTTTTGGCACAAAAAGTGTTACTTATGGCACTTGTATCGTAAAGTACTAATATTTACTAAAACGCTTCAAGTATATTTTCAAATTGCAATGAAAATAAAAAAAATCGTTTGGTTATTTTTGATGATGGCCCTTGACTCTATGGACCCGGCATTGACCGTGAAAAGAAAAAATTCACGTGTTCACTAGACTCACATTGAAAAAAATTTTTTATTATAAATTTTCTCGTATAATACGAGAAAGCAACTTTTCCATTTAATTTAATGTTAATCAACTCCCATCTTGTGGCACGGGTTTTTTTTAAACCGTATGAGCTGAAATTTGGTAGAGCTCATTTTTTTCGGATTGAAACTTTTGAGGGCACGTCCCGTCGATATAAAAAAAATTTTTTTTTATTGTCGGTCTAATACCCGTCTTGTGGCACGGGTTTTTTTCAACCATATGAGCTGAAATTTGGTAAAGGTCATTTTTTTTGGGGTTTGATACTATTGAGAGGGCATCCCGTTTAAGAAATAAAAAAGTATTGTCAGTCTAATATGCACATTGCAGCTACGAAGGGGAACATGTATCGCAAAAGTTCGTGTTAATTAGGTGTACAGTTTACATCTTTAGCTATTAAATGTCCTACCAGCAATTGCAAGTGAAACGAATTAAGAATGAGAAAACCGTTTTGATAGAGAGACTATATTTATTTTTATTGAGTCTGTTTGAGTTCGTTTTTGGTCTTGCTATCTGCGAATAGATTTCAATCAGATGATTTACTATTTTGTAAATACAAGCTCTGTATTTAATGTATGAGTAAGATGATTTCAGAGCTATTCTGTATTTTCTTTGATCTTATACTTCATCGGCTGGAAGAACAAATTGATAGGCTTCGTTATTGGGGTAATGATGTACCGCGTAGAGAAATAATAAGAGATTAATAATTAGATGGGTGATTTAACCAAGAATTCAATTTAGACTGCTTTGATCAAACCATGATTTGACTCACAGTTAAATTAAAATCAAAACTAACTCATACTCGTGATGCCCTATTTCGAGAAGTGACAGGCGACTATGACGCGAAGAGTTTGCGGTCGTGAGAAAGAGTCGAGTGATTGATACCTGATGGTTGCCATTTCTACTAAACATTACGATATATCATCAGAACAACGGGCGAGAGAGACAAAACTATATTTTTTTTATGGGGCAAGGTGACGTAATACGACATAAAACTTGAAGCGGCTAAATGATCATACAGTGCCTGATTTAATCAAATTTGAGCATAAATCTTGCATCTAGCTATTCCAAGTATTATGTAACGTTTTGTTACTCTCAACCGTGAATATATAGTTCATGTTTATTTTTAAACATTCTACGACGTGCCTCAATGTAAAACCGTATACCAACATGGTTTTTCTGAAAGATGAGGGATTGTAATAGTAGCCGCAGGTAAGAGTTGTAGAGAATTTTGTCAAAAAGTATTTGACACGAGTTGCATGCAATGTTTCAAAAAGAAGCGGAAAAGTTGTAATTAAATTAAAGAGCTATAACTATTATGATATATGATGGTTTCCTGAGTATTAAAAAAATATTTAATTATAAGTTAGATTTAAATATTAATAATTATTCGTTACCAATTACTGGTGATTCTTGAATTTTTTTTTTCTTCATTTTTCTCAAACTGCAGGTATCATTCGATAGATTTTTCAATTTATTCTGAGATTGTGCGCTTGAGCTGCAAGGACTTTGGTTTTCTTCGGGGTTGAATTCCGGTAAAGATGAAAACTTTTCTCTGAAGTTCACTTGTTCCAGAACTCTGATCATAAAAATATATTATTAATTCAAAAGATTGTATAGTTATTAATCTTTTAAGCTTTGCAAATAATATAAAGATATTGCGATAAAAAAACCTTTAAATCTCCATAACTTATTGTTATGAATATATTTTGGGTATTTGAACATTGCAACGCCTGTTATATTAATTGTCAAAGACTGTATTATAGATTGATCACGGTATCAAAAAATAAAACATATTTACAAAGGGAGCCAAAGCTATATATTGCAGCTCTTAAATTTATAAGAGTCTCCTAGAATTCATATAAATGTTCACTTCTCATCAGTACCAAATCTGAGCGTAGTTATGTTGAGCTAGACAAAGTCCTTCGATTATCAAAGCAATGTGACTTTAACCGATAGCATTCAAATATTGATGGAATCTTTTTGTTGATTCACAGATGTGCATAAAATTTTGTGATACAATTTTTTATCGATTTTTTAAAAATGTTTATTTAGTGATTCTGACTAAATTATAAATTACGCCTCAGAAAATTTTGATGAAAAATATAGCGGCACAGTATCAGGAGTGAATTTTTCTTGAAGATTATCGATAAAGGATTCCAAAAATAACTTTGGGCTTTATTTTCCTCCATAGTCCATTGGGGAAACACGATTTGAATATAGGTCAAAATAAAACTTCTTTTAATTTTCGAATGACACTGATCTAGACGCGCTTTTGATATGTTATAGTACTTGGTAAAAAAATCCTAAAGCCAAAATTTTAGACTCCATCTCCCCTCCTACCCCCTCCTTCCCTATAAACGTCCTTTTTCTATTTATATTCATTCTGAAGCCCTGAAGTAATTGAAAAATCTGAAAAAATTCACAATAGTACATATCAAAAAAACTAATCACCTTGAATTTTTTCAGATTTGTCGAGTGCTTCAGGCCTTCAGATAAAATAATTAAAAATTTGGAAAATTTTATATACGGCGATACGAGCCTATACCAAACTCGAAAATTTTTTTCTCTGTTTTATCGCATTGAAAAACGTGACCTTAAATTACTTTGGATGTTTTTAAATTGCTTTATGCACCGTTTGAAGCGAAAAAACCTCTTTTTTAACGAAAATAGGTTGTAGAAGCCAGAGCTTCGAATGCAAGAATTTTGAAAATCGTTTTGCTTCCTCATAGAGAAAGCTTTGTGATGGGCTCCATTTCGGCTTTTTTATAGAGTAATCGTAGGGTATATTTAATGATATTTCTATATACTAGATCGAATTTCTGACACATGTTGGTATGTATGTGTGTGTGTGTGTGTGTGTGTGTGTGTGTGTGTGTGTGTGTGTGTGTGTGTGTGTGTGTGTNTTTTTTTCGATTTTTAAAAATTTTTTTTTACGGGAAAAATTTTTTTTGCGGGAAATTGTCGTTTTCTTCCTTTTGCTCCCTCATATAGGAAGTTTTGTGATGGGATACATTTAGGCTTTCGTATATAATTATCGTAGGATATATTTAATGATATTTCTATATACTAGATCGAATTTTTGACACATTTTGGAATGTATGTGGGTGTATGCGGCTGTATGGCTGTGTAGAGTGATTCCTTGATAACGGTAGCACGTATCGTGACGGGGGAGGGCTTATTTTTTTCGTTATGACATAGGGACGAAGCCAGAAAAATTCATTTATCGATAAACGTAACGTTTTTTTTTCTATTTAAGAAAAAAATTTTTTTTTTTGCATTGTTTGTTTGAGATACCCGATAAAGCTGAGAGGCGCTTTCGTTTCGCTTTCGTAATTAGAAAGATGATATTAATATTTTCAAATTATTTTTAAGTTAAAAAAAAAGTATGAGGAAGCTACTTGCCAATACATTGGCAGCGGTTTTTATATTTCTTGATGAACATTTTAAAACTTTTTAGTAATTTTTTGTTTTGTTCTTCCTAGTCTATTGGGGAACATGATTTGAATTCATAAAAAACACATAGTTTACATTTATTACTCAAAATAGCGCAACCTTTGAATAGACATAGTTTTACTTATCGGGCATCTGCAGACCTGCGATAAGTCGCATTTTGGAGGTCGTCAAATCAACTTTCATGTGACATTACTTATATCATGCCACGCAGAGCCGAAAAATTATATTAAAAATTGAGTTGTAAATCAATTATTTAAATAAAAAAAGAAAGTGTATGAAAAAAATTATTTGTTGAATAATTTATTTATTCATAATAAAAAAAAATTTTTTCATGCAAAATAAATTGTTTATGAAAATTTTTTATAAAATTTATTCACGAAAAAAAATTATATGAAAATCATCATTTATAAAAATTTCATGAAAAAAAAATTTCTTTCAAAAATTTTCAAGTGATTAACGCAGGCTCATCCCGATGTTCAATCTAGCTTAGAATTCTCATTACATAAGGAACAGAGTTCTGGTTGGGCTCATTTTGTTCATCTTTTCAAGCCCTTTTTTAAAAAGGTATATAGGTATAAAAAAAAACAATAGTCCATTGTCAATAATGGAAATATATAGAAAAAAGTCCAAATAATCCAGTACGCGCGGAAAACCTTCTGAGAAATTTCTCATTTAGGAGGAACAAGTTCGGGACAACAATTTTTTTAAAGATTGTGAATAAAGGAAGGTAACATGAAAATTTCAGATCATTTGTTAAATAGTCTATTTTTTAAGAAGCTATCGAAAATTTATTTCACTCGTAGTACGTTTTTTGACTCAAGAGTAAAATCGATTTTCAAACGTGCTATACAAAAAAGACTTGCCACCAAAACGCTCAAAAATAAAAGTGTAGATCTCTCAAGTCTTCTTAAATACCCTGATAAAATTTCAAAACTGTGCATTGTAAATTAGCTGACTTACACATCAGTACGTGCAATTTTAAAAGTTAGTCAGAATTACTCTTATGAAAGCGATACTTCGTGAATTTATGTTTTTTATATGAGAGCGTAATTATTATTATTATTATTATTATTATTCTTTTAAACAATTTCATACGACCTTCCTTTTTAATTTTAATGCAATTATGATGTAGTTGTTCCACATTTTGCTAGTGCAGATATTTTAGTTTTTTTTATATTTGTACTGTGGCATATTTTTCAATGCATATTTACTTTTGACCATGCATCTACATAGGAAAGGCTCAGAATTCTTTAAATGATCGTGCACTGGCGGTTTACGGATTTTCCCGAAAGTTCGGTATATTATAATACACGGATAAAGAGTCCTCAAACCAAGATTCTAGTTTCTTAGGTCCCTTGCATTCGACACTCTGCATAGGCGTCTTTTTTCTATTTTTAATAATTTTAAACTCACAATTGATTTAAAAAATCTGAAAAATTCATAAAAATACATTTTAATAATAATATAAATAACCTTAAATTGTTCTGAATTTTCAGATACTTTAGGGCTTTAGAAATAATTACACAAGCATACAAAAAATAATCTTCAGTTCCAGAGACCGGAATCAGTAGACTTTATGTATTTTGGCTCCTATACAGGTTTTTGAGGATGTTGAATTTAATATTTTTTCTCCCTCTCTTTTACTCCCTGAGAAGTCCTGCAGGACGCTACACGGCAGCCCGTGCGCAGGCGAGATTTTTATTTGCCCAGCCCCGAGGACTTGTTGAGTAAGGGAAACCTGGGGGTATACGTATGCACTACACACTCCTCCTCCATCCTCTAGGAAAAACCCGCCTCGAGACAGCCAGAGCACATTGGGTTTTCATCCCACTGAATGGAAATCGGAAAAATCCGAATGCCCTCACTAGGATTCGAACCCACGGCTCCTCGAACGGACGCTGATTCGATGCCTAGCACGCTACTCACCGAGCCAACGACAGCTCTTTAAAGCAAGATGACCTGTATTATCTCACTTTCAAGGTCATTTGAAGGTTGAAATGAATCACAGAAGCAATAAAAGCAAAATTTGAATATCAACCGTGATCAAATATTTCGGCAAAATGGAGTGTAATATGTCTTATAAACTGTATTCCCTGCATAACTATACAGATCAGTTCCTAGAAAATTGTAGATTTTAGCGACGAGCAAGGAGAATAGATCCATCAAGTCATAAAACATATGGAGCAGTGATATTAAGATAGATGAGATTTGCGATGATTGCTGATTACTGGATGTTGAAGAGAGAGAGAGAGAGACAGAGACAACACAGAGAAATTAAACGCAAACGGTAACCTTTACGCCAATGGTTTGAAGAAAAAAAGGTGCGTTGTGCAAAAAAAAAAGAGTAAAAAGGCATGCAAAATTCTCGCATTCTTGAAATTCTGCTACGCTTAAGTGGAAGAGAATTTAATTAAAAAACTTTTGAGACCTAAAGAAATACAATTGAATAATTGTTGCATTCAAAATCATGTAGTCAAGGACTTAAAAATCACAAGTCAATATATATGAATCCTGGATGAATTTCAATAATAAAAGGAACTACAGACATATTTTTTGTTGTAAAAGGACCTGTAAAAAGATATTTTAACATAAGAAACAAAAAATTTTAATATTAAACCTCAAGTTTTATGTTTTTGCATTTATAGGCATAAACACAGGTGTGTCCCCTTAAATGACCTTCAAATGACCTTAAATCGATCTGATTTTGAAAAACCGACGCCGAATTTCGGATTCAGCGACCTAAAAAACATTGAGTCCACTAGGTCCGGTCTCTGGAACTGAAGATTTTTTTGTGTGCCTGTGTTATCGATAGTAGATAACGTTGTCTAATGCTTTTTTTTTATTCAACTTAAAAATGAGCTCTTATATTTTGACTGCAGTGCCTGAAAAAAGTAAGTTTCAGGTAGAGTAGAACATAAAATATTTTACAATTTTAACGCTACTTTTCAAAACAGACCCTGAAATTTTCCTGACTTTTGACATCCAAAAAAATAATCCAAAATTTTTTAGATTTTCTCTTAGAGGGTGCTGATGTCTAGAGTTAAACACCAAAAGTCGGAGCTTTCAATAAAAAATGTTGAAAATGTATGTTTCTATTATTAAAAAATTTTAAAAACATTATTTTTTTACATTTTTTTATTTTTAGATTTTCTTTTTATTCTACAAAATCAAACGCAATTCTCTTAAAAGACATTTAAAGAACAATTGAAAAATACTATAATTGTTTTATAAAGGGGTTTTTGGCTCTAAACTTCAGTGTCAGTGATAAACAAAATTTTAGGCATTTTTTTAATCGTATCACCATATATGAAGTTTGAAAATTTTTAATCATTATTTTTGAGTTTTTAGAGCATCTACAAAATTTTGAAAAATTCAAAGTTGTTTGCATTGTTGAGGTTAAAACTGAGAATTTAGGTTAAAACTAGGGCTTAGTTTAATAAACGCACAGGCAATTTTCTGTTTGTTGTAGTCAAGTTAGGTACGTTAAATTATATGAGGTTCATTAATAATTATGTCAGACTATTCCCAACGCTCCTCTCTATAATTTGTATTACATTCTTTCAAGACTTTTCGTTTTCATCATGAACTTTGTCTTTATCCATTACAAAAGCTGTAAAAAATTTCAGATAAAAATATTGAAAATTGTAGATTTTCCATCAGTTTTCCTCGGTCATCCTGTTGTCCTGCGGTAGGCAGGATGTTTCCTGACAGGATCATCAAAGACCAAAAATTCGACATATTTCTCAAAGTTTATATCCTTTAGTAGTGATTGAATAAAAGAAAAGTAAAAAAAATAAAAATTGATAATTTAGCACGAGTTTTAATGATTTTTTTATCTATATCGAGTAGAAATACGTACATATTCGGCAAAAAACGTGTTTTTTTCATGTCCAACCGGCGCAGCTCGCACAATATCTATTTCGATGGGAAATTTCCTTAGCTTTCAGTTTAAACTATTATAAAAAATATCAAAATTACTATTTTTCAGATATTTAATGTTGAAAATTAATTATTTAGATTTTTCAAAGAAAATACGAATTTTCGAAAAATCTGAGCACAGTACCAGAAAGCTGGGATAATTTCCGATCGAAAACATATTTTTTTCAAGTAGGGTCAGAGGGTTTTCTAGCGAGTTAGAAATTAGAAATTCATGCACGGTTTTTTACTCTACACACAGGGCTACGAGCGGTGAGTAAATTTACGGCTTCTGCTGTTAGCAAGACGTGGGGCCAATATACTGTTGTCCGTTATTTCGTATTTTCGTAACCAAAAATTAACGGTGGCTGAAAATGCTTATTATCCGATTTGAAATAAAGCTCCGACATGTTCTGGGTTGAACCCAAATACCTGATTTTCATTGATTGAGAAACGGGTTAGCCACTCTACCTGAATAAGTAAGTTCATTGCTTACTATTCAAACAGACGGCTAAAGAGAAGAGATACCTGTGAGCTTCAACGATCTACAGAAGGTAGCGATCAAAAGCCACTTCTACCAGACGATCAAACTTTCAGGCTTAAGACACCTGCAAAGGCACCGCTACCATGTCAGATTCACGATTCCTCATCATCGCACCGACGTGGTCCACCGAATCACCGCTACCTTACGAGACTTTATCTCGTAATTGTTATCCATCCGATAACAACATAGTAAACCCATTTAAAGTCCTATTGAAAGTATTACAGTCTAAAAGAGCATAAAATTGCCTTTAATTTGATAGTACCAAAACCTATCTACATTCATTAGAACCAAAGTTGCAGGTGTTCAAAGGTTCTCTGAAAATTCAAATATCGAATTCGCTTTGAACGGTTCACAGATTTTGATACTTGATTTTTCAATAAACCTCAAATACCTATAACTTTGATTCTAATGAACGTAGATAGGTTTTAGTACTATTAAATTAAAGGTCTTGATTTTTAATTTACGCTGTTATATCTAAAATAATCGTTTACGCTCGTCTTTGCTATAAAACATCGAATAACAATGCTAATATGCATTTTTTCCCCCATTTTTTATCAAATTCCATTCGGAAGGTTCTAATGAGTATTGGTTACTCATAGTGGGAAGTAAAAACCAACGCTAAACCCAAGGTTTAGCGCTTTTAAGTAGTTTAAAACTAGAATTTGCCATTTTTAAAAATTTTCCCATGTTATTTAAATGGGAAAAAGCTGACGCGTGTGGCACTATCTAGAGTTAGCTTATAGAGATTGGACAGTGATTTTCTTTCAATATAACCCAAAAGATGAGCTTTCAAGGGGTGAAAGCGAGGATTTGAACAATTCGGGAAATAACGGGCAATCTAATTTACATCCAGTATCGGTTTGGTATGGGCACAGCACAATTTTCAGCACGTATCAGCACGTGATTTAATTACTTTTATAGGATTTTTGTGCCGTATATACTATGAAATAAGGCATTTATTTATTGACGACCACTTCTTTCAAATAAGGGATTCATGCTTTTTTATTTTTTTATAAAAGTAGGAGAAAGCTCTTTGTCAATGAATTGGCTGTTATTTTTCAAATATTCACGATATCTCATCTCAAAAGAAACGTCTATAAGAAAAAAATGCAACGATAAAAAAAATTGGAAAAATATTTGAACAATTCCTAAGTAAAAAAACTTACTTATCCATTCCATCTTCGATTGACTTCTTGAAAAAAGGACTTTTTTTATTTGGAATCATGTCAATTGTTTGATTATTTGAATTATCCTGCTTTTGATGCATCTCTGAATATACGATGATTTTAGGAGAAGAGACTTCAAATGAGTTGGTTGATTGGTCAATCGTATGTTGAGATCCTACAGAGAATAATAATAAATAGAAAATTTTTCACAATATTAATTTTGAAATGAAATTTATTCAAAATTTATTCAAAATTTATTCAATTATAATTATATAGAATTATATAGAATATATATTTTTAATTTAGTCATTATTCACTGAATTTACCAATTCAATGATACGAGAATCATGAAAAATATTTCAATTTTGCCATAATCTTATATTTTTTGTACACAATTCATACGCGTGTGTAGCGACTGACTTCACGATAGTCGCATTAGTATAATTTAATTAATTGCGGTTGTTAATGGTTAACCGTTTGTTTATCGTAGCGTTGGAGATAAACATATCAATCACGGAAGATCAGTTTAGCTGCTGCCTCCCAGATAAACTGATCTCAATAATAAAACCTCTTCACTAAATAAAATAGTCTGTTTATTCTTTATGATCAATTCGGTAATGTGACGTTGTATCTAACCTAAATGCAGGATCATTATATTTTATTCTCCTGGAAAACTTGCGAAAAATTATTTTTACTATACCTAATTGAATAAGAGCATCTAAACGATTATTTCCATATTCAATTATAATATTTATTAATTTAATTATTGTACACCGAACGAAAAATATGGACTCAGGCTAGAATCGAACCGACGACATTTCGCCTTTAGCCGGCGAGTGCTCTATAATGACCTCTTCTTTATGATAATATCACTCGCCGGCTAAAGGCGAAGTGTCATCGGTTCGACTCCGGCCTAAGTCGATATTTTTCGTTCGGTGTTAAATAATTAAATTAATAAATATTATGATTGAATATGGAAATCGTCGTTTAGATGCTCCTATTCAATTATGTACAGGAGTCCCTCGTTATACGCGGGTTTATTATCCGCGGAATTCGTTATCCGCGGTTAGTCGATTTGCGCCCATCCCTTCGTATCCGCGGGTCGAGTCTTGTTATCCGCGGATCGAAGATCGTGATTTTTTTCTCGGACGTATCTATATTCAGTTTGAATTTGGTTAGTGTAGACGCGTAAATCGAAATTGTCAATTAACCTAAATTTGTTGAAAATTTATAAATTTATTTAAGTATGGCTTCATCTAAAACTCCGTCGAAAACTGCCTCAAAAAACACTGGCAGATCAGACTGATGATGCACCTGATTCATATATTTGATTTTTGATTCAAAACTGATTGTCGAAGTTATGGATCTAGTTATTCGAGCAGGTGAATTAGCAATGACTGATGATCCAATAATGACGCGTAGCTCGACTTTCAAACACTACTGTGATTTAGCTGCACAAATTTATGAAGAAATGCACAAAGATATTTTGAGACGAGCAAAGCAGAAAAAATTAACCGATTACTTTAAAAATTAAACATAGAATTGCATATTTGTATTGTAAATATAAATAAACATATATAAATAGATAAACAACTCAACAAATACGTTTATTTGTAGGTAAAATGTACAATATAAACTGTGCTTTCTCGAGGTTGAGGAACGTAACTCTCTCTTTCCCATAAGAGTAAGGTCTTATTATCCACGGTTTTGTTATACACGGTACTTTTTAGGAACGTAACCCCCGCGTATAACGAGGGACTCCTGTATAATAAAAATAATGATCCTGCATGTAGGTCTCGCCTGTATAGGTATCAATTTAAGGGTACAGCGTCACATTACCGAATTGATCATAAAGAATAAATTGATATTTCGGACGTGTAAAGGTAAAAAATTGAGATTAAAATAGTCTCTGAAGACCTTTAATAGTTCCTACAAATTGGTGACTCACAATATTCATCATAGTTATGGACCGCGATGATGGATATCGTCGACCTGCACTGCAGCAGCAACCTCAGCAACAAATCGAGTAACATCAGATCGAACAAACACGTTTCGAGCAACAGCGTCTGAAGCAACAGCATCTGGAGCAACAGCGAGCATTCGAGGATACAGTGGCTGAAGGATTAGTGGCACCTCAACAACCACAAAATGTCGTGCAGGACAATTTTGGCATCACCGGCTTTCGAACTCCTTAAGTCCATCACTTTGCTGTTTCTCTACCGACTTTTAGGTTGGATAAACCAGCCCTGTGTTTTGCGCAAGCTGAAGCTCAATTTGCCCTCGTCGGAATTACCACCGAACATACTAAGTATTATCATGTAATTTATCAACTCGATGATCGTGCAGCTGCCAAAGTTGAAGATATAATCTTCAACTCTCCTGCTGTATTACCTTATATATCTTTGCGAAGAGTATTGATAGAAAAACACTCCACTTCAGAAGAACAGTGTGTTCGTCAGCTTTTGAACGAATTGTGACCGTAAACCGTCACAATTCCTACGATATTTAACATTATTAGCCGGTCCAACTTACTTCGTCATCTTGAATGTGTTAATTGTGCTTAACGTTTCACATGTATATGACAAGAATAATACTTCTAGCGTTCGCTAGAAAATCTGTTTAGGCAATAATAATTTAAATAACAACTTTTTTGTGGCAATCGACACAATTTTTGTGTGAATTGGGCCAATAAACAGACAAATGACAAGTTATCCTTGTTGATTGACTCAAAAAAGTTATTTTTTAACGTGTTATTGGCTAAACAGATTGTCTAGCGAGCGCTGAATGTATTATTCTTGCAATTTACTTCATCATCTTTATCAACGACGTCTATCTACGCATGCACAAACGATTTTGACAGCTTTGTCTGAACTCTCTGTCAAGCGACTCTCTGTTTTGACCGACAAAATCTCCAAGATTTCTGCGATATCTGCAGTACACGCTGTTACTAGCCCACCGGATCAGATAATTCCTCTTGCTTCCAATGACATTTTGAATGATGTTCAAAACTTGATTCTCGAAGTTAGGGGAGAGCGGAGTGTGTTGGCATGTGAGGTAAGTTGGCAAAAATGCATATTTCTCTATATCCCTAACTTGTATAGAGATAATACTATCAGTAGTGCTAGCACCATAATATGCATTATTTTTATGTAATGGCACCATCTCGGTTCAAGTCATTGATAAAGAGAAATATGCCATTTTGCTAATTTACATCACATGCCAACACACCCCGCTCTTCCCTACTGAGTTACGACAATCTCATTAAAATTGGATATAGCAACGATCGATAAACCGCAATCGATCGAAATTGACAAGTCGTATTCAAGATAACGACAAACCATGCTGGTATTGTCGTCATTCGGACAAAGATGCGAAAAAACAAATCTCACCTTGAAAGAGAAACGGCAAAGATAGTCAGTAGCGCCGACATACTGTCTCTCATCAAACAGCCACCTGTTCGTGACGGATCAATCGACCAAACACCGACTCCTCGTCAACACCGGCCGGTTTTCTGTTTTCCACGACGTCTACTACGTGAGCATTGAACGCCTACAGATTTTCGACTTCATGCCGACAACAGCAGCGCAATCAAGATGTACGGTTTACTTGGATTGACTCTCGACTTAGGTCTTCGTCGATGTTTCCTTAGGTGTTTCATCGTTGCGGATGTGTCTCAGCCGATTATAGGCTCCGATTTCTTCGTACATTACAACTTGCTACCAGATTGTCAACGAAAGCTCTTGATTGACGCATCTACAAATTTCTACACTCCTGCCTCGATGCAATTTTCTTCGTAATGCAGCGTCAAGACTGTTGCAGCCAGCGACGAGTACTCTTTTAGCTTGATGAAAGTCAATAAGCATTTAGCTGTACATCACATACATGCGACTCCTGGCCCGCCGCTGTCATACCGTCTTCAACATTTAGTTCACGAGAAATTTCAAGTTGCAAAGGCCGAGTTTGATCAAATACTGCAAGCTGGTGTGTAACATCCTTCCGAGAGCCAGTGGTCATCGCCATTGCACCTCGCGCGTGAGGGTGAGAATGACTGGCGACTTTGTGGCGATTATTGTGGGCTCAACAGCTGAATATTATTCTCGATTTTGACTTCAAAGAGTAAAAACGCAAGATTTAGAGAAGAGTCAGCCTAGCTGCACCTCTGCCGAGGCATACGGTCAGCTAGTACCTTGTTATCCGGAGACAGCCGACCCGTGTAGAGCTTGTGCAAGTGTCGAAATCTCAGAGTCTTACGAAGATCTAAGTCCAATCCAAAAGTTATTCAGAAGTACTAGAATCATCTTTAAAAGTTAAAGTGTAAATAGTTTTTGGGAATTAAACTCTTTGCTACGCGAGGTGCTCAAGTGGTTCCAGCTTCTCCTCTGAAGATCATTGATTCTCTATCATCCGGGGCAGCATACGAGAGGGGCTTCATCGAGCCAAGAGGAAGCCAGCCTTTTAGTGTGTTTCAAAGTCGAGTTAAATAAATTAATGTAAGTCATTTTAAAAATTATAAAAAATGTTCAACGTCTTATTATTTTAACCCAATCCTAACCACTTCTGTGAGAAAGAATTTAATGTAAAAAACTATGTAATATTCGTTGATTCGGATGTTACAATTGTTTGTTTATCGTAGCGTTAAAGATAAAGTTATAAATCACTGAAGATCAGGAACTATATTAGTTTCTACATGTGTACAGTTATGGCATTTCTGCTAAATCTATCAAACAATCGTATTATATCATATCTTATACATGTACATGCAAATTGCTCCAGATCAAAAAACGATAAGTAATCGAATTTAATTACTTTTTCTTTCAGGGCCTTATTCGATGGCAGTTTCTCGGGAGAGTCGAATCTTCTTGAAAATGATATTACACAATATATATATTCAGACATCAAAATGTGTCATAGAAAATTCAATCAAGATCATGCGATGTTAGTGTATGCTGCGAAGTAGTGGTCTATACAAGTCGCACGCTATGATTTTTCGTACTTTAGTCTGAGATTCATTAAAAAAGCATGATTTTTTTGTTCAGCAGACTTTTCTGTAGCAGGTGCTGAATTAAATTTATGTTCCTATGACTATGTGTATCAATGAATGAGCGGTCATCATATGAATGTAGCGGTAATTTCTTTTTAACTTGAAAAAAACACGTATGACTTTGTTAACGTTTGATTTCATGATTTCTCATATTTCTTCTTTCTAGAGTAAGCTTAGTGAAAGACTAAAGGTTTTTGAAGCGGACGTGGTAAATAATTTGATTCATATATTCTTAAACTACATTAAATTTTTAACAAATGTCTGTATGTGGATGTGTGCGAGTTTGAAAGTCTGTAGGTATTGAATCGGCAAATAAAAAACATAAATATACATTAGATAAATTGATTTAATAAGCATAATCGATTTATTAGTTTTAGAGTTACGATGTACATCGACTCAAAATACGTTTTTTAAGGAAGCGCGTTCAAAGTTTTTGATGTAAACATGTGAATTTTATCATTTATATTTTCAATGTCAATGCATGTACATGGGTCATATCCGAAATGAGTTGATGGGTCCAAAAATGAGCTATCAACTAAATGCATTTCTTAAAAGTACATGAAAAAACAAAACTTTTCATGTGTTTAAAAAGTGCCATGGTTCCTTCCTTCAAAATCTACAGCTGCTCAAAGTTAGAATCTGAAAACTAACTTTTTTCTCCATAGGCCCAATGTAGCTCTGTAAAATAAATTAAACATAGTATTTTTATGTATTTTTTGATAAGGAATTCATTGGTGATATGTAAAAAGTGATTCAGATACTTTTACACCATTAAAAATCAAAAAAATGCATTTTAGGCCCAAAATAGATGTGTTCGTCCTCTTGAATTTGCCTGAAATTAATAGAGTATCATTACAACATCAAATTAAAGTCCTCTACCAAGTGGCATTATCGGTTGGCCAATATCGAGGAAGATATACTATGAAATGTGGCCATCTTTCACTTTTACATCATGATAGACTGAATGTCGACTATCAATACTGCCTAGAGCAATGAACTGCATTAAAAGCAAGCTAGAAACAATAATGTTATTTTTTAAAGTTTAAATTTAATACCACTGTGAATGAAACAAACACCTTATTCTTATGTAATCAATTAATAACTTCATTTATGTTAGATAAGTAATACTAGTATGCACTGTTTGGATTAAATATTACTTTAGCGTTTGTTTCATTCACAGTGGTATTAAATATGAACTCTGTGCAGAAAGTACTTGTGATTGAACTTTTAAAAGATAAATTAGTGTTTCTAGCTTGCTTTTAATGCAGTTCATTGCTCTAGGCAGTATTGATAGTCGACATTCAGTCTATCATGATGTAAAAGTGAAAGATGGCCACATTTCATAGTATATCTTCCTCGATATTGGCCAACCGATAATGCCACTTGGTAGAGGACTTTAATTTGATGTTGTAATGATACTCTATTAATTTCAGGCAAATCCAAGAGGACGAACACATCTATTTTGGGCCTAAAATGCATTTTTTTGATTTTTAATGGTGTAAGAGTATCTGAATCACTTTTTACATATCACCAATGAATTTCTTATCAAAAAATACATAAAAATACTATGTTTGATTTATTTTACAGAGCTACATTGGGCCTATGGAGAAAAAAGTTAGTTTTTAGATTCTAACTTTGAGCAGCTGTAGATTTTGAAGGAAGGAACCATGGCACTTTTTAAACACATGAAAAGTTTTGTTTTTTCATGTACTTTTAAGAAATGCATTTAGTTGATAGCTCATTTTCGGACCTATCAACTCATTTCTGATATGACCCACATATTCTGAATGTCTTCGAAAGGGATAATATTCGCAAAGTTCTGCGAAGGTACAGATTACATATTTTTTAAGCTTGGCCAACTCAGTCAGTAATATCATTGATCATTTTTATCATATGATGTGACAAAAAAAGTTCGAAAAGTGAATTATGTTACGTTCCTATTTATCTCAATGCAAAAGCAAAAGTCGATTTTTAAAAATCTCCATGGCAACGAGAGGTAAATCGCAGCGTTGGTAACAAGGATAAGGAAGATCTTGATTGTTTGAACATCACAAATGTTTTTAATTGGCAATAAATATTTTCTAAAAGAATTTTGGAGTTCATTTACTTCTTTTTAAATACCGAAACTCGAAAATGCTGAAAAATTCGGATTAAGCCGATTGTTTTCAGGTAGAAAAAACATGAAAATTTTATTATAAAAAATAATAGTCGAGGTCTGAAAGTAATGGCGATTTCACTCGTGTAAGAAAACCATCATTGACAAGAAGTTTAAGTATCAACTAGACCCAATACATTTTTGGCAAGTTTTAGCCATTTAACCACATTCTTTCCGTATCATTCACAAGTAAACTCTTCCGTTAAGATGAAATGTTTTTCCTAATATGTTTTTAATCATAGAGTTAAAACAAAAGCAAAAAAACTTGCTCGAAAAACTCGGGTGCCCCAGCCCGTCCCAAACTCTACGGGTCATATAAAAATTTTGGGTAACTTGAATTTTTGGGTAACTACATAACCCAATTTTTAGCTGTCTAAATTAACTTAACGCTACGTAAAGATTTATTTAATTAATTCTAAACCTAACTCATATTGAAGATACTCTATTCTATAAATTAGCATATATTAGTGTTATAGTATATGATAATAAAGAAACACTAGCACATTCCAAAATGTCCCATTTTAAATTATGCTAAAACTAGCTAAAGTAGGGGAGCGGGGTGTGTTGGCATGGGAGATAAATTAGCAAAATGGCATATTTCTCTTTATCAATGACTTGAACCGAGATAGTGCCATTACATGAAAATAATACATATTATGGTGCTAGCACTACTGATAGTATTATCTCTATACAAGTTAGTGATGTGGAGAAATATGCATTTTTGCCAACTTACCTCACACGCCAACACCCCTGCTCTTCCCTAATATAAACGTATAAACTGTAGGAGGGTGGTATGTAAAATTTTCTTTAAAAGACGTTAAGTGCATGAATTATTTTATAACGAGTAAACACTCAAAAATGAAATAAGTTTAAATTGATGGCACTATTAACTATTATTCAATTCATTAACTTACCCATTGATTGTCTTTTTTGAAGAGGAGCTTTTCCGAGTTGTGCAGGTGTTGGAGCAAGAATAAATGGACTTTTGTCTGGTATTTCGAGAGCATCGCAAGTATTTATTGACTTATTATTCATTCCGTCATGATCAAATTTTTCGACTTTTTCTGTACCTGTATGCATTTATAAATGATCAATGAAAAATCAAATAAGATTTTATTAATTAATATTCTAATGAATAAACAATAATTAATAATGTCTTAACAATAAATTTACAATGAAATATACTTTTTATGATCGATTCCTTGAAAATATAAGATTCAAGTATTTACTTATTCAACGTGTGCCAGCGCAGGTTATTAATAGTTGAGCATCGTTTTCTTTAATATATAATGTGTTTCTTTATTTTCACTCAAGGGAAGAGAAAAAAAGACAAACAAGAAAAAAGATGAATGACAGTGTTGTTTGCAAAAAGTGAAGAAAAATCTCGCAATTTAATCTTTACTAACAAGGAGACCTTCTCACCTTCGGGTCATGGATTTGGCCCAAACTTTTTCTGATGATTCAGGACAGTTAGAAAACATACCCTGTTATGTTCGCTTATGTGAATATGCCACAGAAGCCTTAGATAAAAAGTAAAGGGCCAAATAATAAAAATAAGCGTATAAAGTGCAATTAATATTCATTTCCTATCCACAAACTATTATAGTCACTTATTTTAGACACTTGGTACTTGAAAACATTACATTTCATTGTTAAGAAGTTGTTGGATCTCACTCATGACCCAAAACATTGCAATATTGTTCAATTATGACATTATAAAGCGTTCAATTTCAATACGTATGGCCTTAAACGCTTCAAATAATTATTATTTTAATACAAGCAATGGAGATCCAACAAGTTCTTAACAATGAAATGTAATGTTTTCAAGTACCAAGTGTCTAAAATAAGTGACTATAATAGTTTGTAGATAGGAAATGGATATTAATTGCACTTTATACTTTATTTTATTTTTATTATTTGGCCCTTTATTTTTTATCTAAGGCTTCTGGGGCATATTCACATAAGCGAACATAACAGGGCATGTTCTCTAACTGTCCTGAATCACCAGAAAAAGTTTGGGCCAAATCCATGACCCGAAGGTGAGAAGGTCTCCTTGTAAGCGGTTGAATTTAATAAATCACTAAAAAATTATTTACTACGATGAAAAAGTGCCAATAATTTACGCTGAATGTGTATCTGTAACTTTAAGGACTAAAAAAATTGATTCCATTATTCTTCAAGGGCATCATCAATATCACCATGTTACCCTCTAATGATATTTATGTGCACAGTACAGTATGCGACCCCGGCCTACTCTTCTTCCCCTGCTTATGCATGCGCACGATGAATAGAGGATTTTGCGATCGTGCCTGGCTTCAACACACGATGAGTCAGGATTCACAGCAAAACCTCAAGTTCAACTAATAAAAAGACCACTTCATCTATAGGCAACGAATCTTTCCGAAAAAATTTTTATGGTCTCCTGGTAAATAAATATGATGCTTATCACACTTTGTTTGATTGCAAGAGCCTCGAGGCCCATTGGATCAAACGAACAATTTAAAGCATCGGAATCTTTATCATTATGTACCAGGAAACCTCAAAAAATTTGGGAAAGCGCAACTCGCACACTTACCGGAGAGCATATAATTTCTTGGATTGCTACAGAACTTGACCAATCAACGAGTTGTATGTAATTTTTGACTTGGCGAGGGACTTTTTGACTCAATAATATACATACGCTTACCACGCAAGAATTGTCTTGCAAGAATCCGGGTCAAGTTACTTTTTAAAGATTCGCTCGATGCAAAAAACGCCGATTTTTTTTTTATGCAACTTATTTTCCGTGACTGGTCGCTTTAATTATAACCAAATATGGGTTAAATATTGTGGAATATGTGTCTGAATACGTTTCAAAAATTTATTTAAGTACTGATTTATTATGTAGGAATTTATTGAGTACTGTTTGTTGCTGGAAACAATTTTTTACGATTATTTCGAATGAATTTTTTTCGTGGCTGGTGGCTTTAATTAAGTCTAAATGTTCAACTTTTCTTAGATTCAATGATATTTTATACTTAAAACGTAAAAAATCATATTTTTAGAAGGAGGCATTTTGCCATTGGCAACGTTTTTTCAACATTGCTTGCTTAGTACACAATAAAAACAATGAAGTATTTTTTTTTTGTTATAAAGTTTAAGTTTAAGTTTAAGTTTAAGTTTGAATTTTATGTTTCCGTGGTAATGATACGGTTAGAGTTACATTTTAACTTTCCACCACGGCTATACTGTTCTCTCAGTATATAAATTAAAATAAAAAATTATTAGTTTTGATATTATTGAGAACTTACGTGAACTGTTTGAGGATGATGATGTCCGGGCTCCTGTGGGCAAATGATACGTTTCATCTTCATAAAATGATTCCATTTTTGAAATGTCATCATTAGTACCTCGGTTTTCTCTCATGACGTTATCATCATTCAAACCAGTAAGTTCTTCATTTTTTTCTGTATCAAGACATCTTAATGATCCTTTATTTATCATTTTTTCAGACATTGGAACTGTTATCAAAGCTCCACATTTTGGTTGAAATTTTGATAAGTTACTAGGATTTACAGGACAGAAATAAGAATAACTAGGAGAGTGATTTATACTCTCTTTATCGTCTATAAGGTGTTCAACTTGAGTGCTATCTTCGTCGATCGAGTTTCGGTAACCTAAAAATAATTGAAACATATCGTTTTTATGCACGTAATCTTTAACTTAACTTATATTATTGACCCTAAAACTTATAAATAAATTCATTATAGAACAAATTTAAGTAAAATGTTTCAAATGATTTTCTAGTTTTTGATTGAACAGGCAATGAAAATCAAACTTCCATCTTTGCAAAACCTGCTGCACGTAAGTACAGAAGGCTACTTTTTTAAACATTTTGAGTTCTCACGAATGAAAGTTGATGAAAACTCACTTCAGTATTATTTGACAAGTAAATTCATATCTCAATACGAAGTATTCAAAAAATGTAATATAATTGGTATATTGAAATTAAAGTAAGACATTTTTTGGTCAATCAATTCAATTTAAACTTATTTTCATATCATAAAAACTTGGACTATTATGATTAATATGGAAATTTTTAAATTGAAGCTCAAAACAAAAGTCCATCTCCTTTAATTGGATATTTTTAATTTTTAGAACAGGATCCAGATTTGACAATAAGAAAGGCTCAATCATAATGGCGTTAAAATCATGATCAGCAACTCCCGGGTAAATAGCAGATATAATAAATTAAAAAGATTGGATAAATCATATTAATTAAGTTATAACAACAATAACCTAAAATGATCAGATTTTCGTAGCGGAAACAAATTCTTTTCCACATTGTGTGCATTAAAGCGATGAAGTTGTGAATTGAGCCCAAATCATAGCTCAAAGGAAATTAATTTTTTTCTAATAAAATATTTTCTGCTTAGAGTTTGACAATTCTGTGATCAGCCAACTACAAGTACTAAGGGTTTCTCAGTGAAACGAGAAATTTTTTGTGAAAAACTTTACTACAAATCCCTTTAGCACAAGCAAATTAAAACTAAAGCCTGAATTATCATGAGTCGACCGCACTGTTATACAATATAGTATGGACGGGACAAATTGTAGCGAGTCTGTGAGGTTTTGCAGAGATTCGCCAACATCATGGATGTCTAGTCAGTCTTAGCTAAGAGTAGCCTGACAGTCACGAGACACACGAGTGACGAGTGACCCGAATGGTCGATATTGCCTTTTATTCTACAAAGTTTTGCAACTCTACGTTTAGTAAGTTAACTGACTTAGGATGACCGACTTGAGACCATCAACCAGAGCTGATTGACTTTGCCCGAGAGGCACTTATACTAGTACGTGCCGTGGCGTTGCACCAACTGGCGGCAGTGCACGACTGTATAAACCAATAATAAGCTGCATTTTCATGAGACCCCCAAACGATTATGAAATAATTATTAATTTGAAATAAAAATATCGTGTATTTGTTTTGTATACAAATATAAATAATAAACTTATAAATTGATCATGAATATAATTTTACCTTTAATATGGCTTTTACTACCCATTTCTTTGCTTGGAGTAAAATCATTTAATTTATGTTCTTCAACATTAGGTAATGTTTCTACAGAACTATTGACAGAAGTTTTTGAGTATATTTTATCCGTAGAATTCAGAGACATCATACTTGATTTAGGCACTTCTGCGTCTATTGCACTTTTTAAATTTAAAATAACTTGCCGCACAGGATGCTGGATTTTACTTTTGAAATCATCATTGATCGAAAATACCTTGAAAAAAAATATGCATAAGAACTAATATTATCTATATATGAGCGTGCGATTGTGCTTAATAAGATATCTCCTAGCTAATACAATCAGCTAAAGATAAATTAATTTGATATTATAACAATTGTATGATGAACTTCTCGACTATTTTATCTTTATTTCCGTGATTCTTGTTCTTATAAATACATTTAATAATAAAGAAAATATTCTTACATTTGATGGTTCTTTTGAATTTTCAGGAGAGAAATGTGAATCTGATGTCAATTTGGGAACCACTTTAGTATTTGAAGAATTTTCAGTTTTAACAGCACTAGTTTCATCTGCACTATTTGATTTGGTTCGGATATCATTATCTCTCATTAATTGAGAAACTTTTTTCTTGTCTTTATTGCACCATTTCCAGTCTGGGTGAGCTTTAAAATGAGCTTCTTTTACCTCAGAAGCTAAATTATGATATTTTTGTTTTTCTTCTGCTCCCAAAGCATACCACCATTCACCAAGAATTTTAGAAACAGTACGATTATCTTGATTTGGATGTCTTTGGTGAACTACAGCACGATGTCGTTTTGAAAATATCATAAACGCATTCATTGGACGTCGAATTTTATCTTTCATCTGAAATATTATTCGAAAAAATGAGTGATTACTTTTATCAATGGTATTATATTGAAATGTATGTGACAAATTTTCAATGTTTTATGAATCAGAATTGTTTTCGTTTAGTAGAAATAATTCAATGGTGATTATGAAAATAATGTCAGTTCAAAATATGCGGAGAAAAACATACCGATTTAGAATATATAATTTGTGAAACGCATAATGCAAAAGACTTGATTTTATTCAGGAGATACATTATTCTAAAATAAGTGAAATTAAACTTAATCATATCAGTTCAACAGTAGTCTAAGACTAAGACTTATCGCACTCTAACAATCATGAAAAACTCATAAAGGGTCGACCTGACGCGATTCGAGAATAATCTAGTATTTTATCAGAGTATTAATTTTGCGATTCCAGTACAAAAGGGTCAAATTAAAAAAATCAGACCATAAGGTTCGAACCCCTGGAAGATCAAATACCAACAAATTTTAAAGCCTAGAAGGTTAAAAAATTAAAAAAGCACTCAATTATAAAAAATGAGGATTATTTGACGGCGAGTCGTTTAAGGATGCATGTAAAGGCCAAAATCCTTCAGGTATTTCAGAGTGTTGTTTTCTTCAACGTATTCTTCGTACCGTCTCACGATGTTCAAAATCCTATCTTCGACTTCTTGAAACTTTTCTTTCAAGCCCAAATCGATTTGATGCAACATTGTCTTGGCATTGCCTTCTGTCCACCTGTCAGATGCGTTGTTTGTTGATGCCGTGCGCTCTTCTGCCTCTTGCTTTTCTGCTGCTAATCATTTAAGAACGGAACAAGAAAGCGTTCGAGAACAGCTAGGATAAATGGTATAATACTAACCACGAAACTAAATAAATGAAGTTATGTAGCAGATACAGTATGTACTGAACTGTATATTTTTAACATTTTTTTTATATTAACCTTTTGAGTATTTAACTTATCTACAGTGCTGACCTTTTTGTCTTTGACCTTATAATAGTTTTGACACTTTTGCCCGGGTACCAATTTTACTCAACACATATAATAATAATAATAATAATAATAATAATAATATATTTGCCAATTACTCCTTCTCAGTACAAAAATCATACAGAACAGGACCTACAGAGAGCGAGAACGCCCGTACATAGGATTGGTCCAAACAATAAATAGAAATAATGAAGTATAATAAAAAAAAATAATAATGAAAAATAATCGGAATAAAATACAAAAATCCGGAGATTAATTCAAAAGAAAAATAAAAAACAACATAATCACAGTCAAATTGAAAGTATGTAACCTTATAGTGTTACTATATCACAGTACAAAAAAATAAAAGAAAAGAAAAGGAAAGTCATTATAGCTCACTCGGACTATATAGTTATTTTTAAAGTTTTAATGTAATTTTTCACTTTCGCTTTCACTGCACTATCACTTGTTAGGTTCTTTAGAGAGTTTGGAAGTAAATTAAAAAACTTGGCAGCCTGGTACACGTAGCTTCTCTGTCCAATCGTAAGCCTCTGTCTTGGTAGTGTTAAATTCTTGTATCTTGTATTGACCTGTTTATTTATAAATTCATAACTGTGCTGTCGGTACTGTTTTACTATTGCTTTTGTAACGAAAGCCTGCCGCAGATTGGGTGGTTTTAATGGATCAGAATCATTTATTTTGATTATTCTCATTATCCTTGCTTGCAATCCTTGTAGTTTTCTCAATGCAGTCTCGTAGACTCCTCCCCAACCAATAATGCCATAAGTAGCTATAGTAGTAGCTATATAGAATTACTGTTTTTTATTACTCATACGTTTTAAGCAACCTCGACAAGTTAAAGCTATTAGATCGATAGATGATGACAGATTTTGCATAATGATTGAATTGAAACGATTAGATTGAAAAAATACTCATACAAAATGAATATTTTTTCACTTTACATTAATTTTTTACTTAAAATTATTAGCTCACAGTAATGCCTAAAATTCTTTAGGCATTGCGGGTTTTGTCTAAAAAATTGTAGGCATTGCGGGCAATGCCTAAGATTTAGGAAGTTTATATATTTTTGCGGGTATGTCCTAAAATCTTAGGCATTTCTGTTTTTGCCTAGGAAAAAGTCACTTTTCCCTAAAAGCGGGTTGGCCGGTAACATGTACATAGTTACATTGTAATAGCAATAATCAATGTATTTCAGTGGTTATGGGTAAAAATAGTATTTTTTTAAATTTTCGTCCGCACGTATATCACTGATCTTGACACGCTTTTGGTATGTTATAGTACATGATAAAAAAGTGCCAAAACCAACCTTTCGGACCCCCCCCCCCTCCTGCCCCACCCCTTCCTCCCCTATAAACGTCCATTTTCTATCTATATTTTTTCTGAAGCCCTGAAGCAATTGAAAAATCTGAAAATTCCCAAAAACACTTTCTAATAAACTAAACAACCTTGAACTTTTTCAGATTTTTCGAGTGCTTCAGGCCTTCAGAAAAAATCATTGAAAATTTTAAAAATTCGTATAAGGCGTTAGAATGCAATAACCTTTTCGAAAAATTTTTCACTTTTTTTATTTCATTGAAAAAAGTAACCTCAAATTTTTTCAAATTTTTTCAGAGATTCGAACGCACCTTTTGAAGCCATAAACCCCTTTTTGTGACGAAAATAATTTTTTTAAAACGATACGGAGACTCGAAAAATCTGGAAAATTTTTTTTCTTGTTTTATTCATCAAAATTCATAACCTCGAATTTTTTCAAATTTTTTAATTGAAGGCGATAGCTTCTAGAGCCGAAAAATACTATTTTTAACAAAAAAGGGTTCCTAGAATCCTATGGTTCCTATATATTTTGGGTCACGAGTGAGATCCAACAACTTCTTAAAAATGAAATGTAATGTTTTCAAGGTCCAGGTGTTTAAAATAAGTAACCAAAATAGTTTGAGTATAGGAAATGAATATTTATCGCGTTTTATTTGCTTAATTTTATTATTTCAACGTGTTTTTTTTACCTAAGGCTTCTAGGGCATATTCACACAACCTTATATAACAGGGCATGTTTTCTAACTGTCCTGAATTACCAGAAAAAGTTTGGGCCAAATCCATGATCCGAAGGTGAGAAGGTCTCCTTGTTAGTCGAGAAAAAAAATTACGATCTATAGAAAATTTGGTTGATCCTTTGAGAAATCAGCTCAAGAGTGTCTTATGCAAAAAAGCAACGGTTTTCGAAAGTTCAGAACTTTTGTTCATACATTTTTTTTTTTCAGATTTTTTTGCAAAAAACTCTCATCAAACAGAATTAACATCACTTTTTCATCTTTTGGCGCTACCATGCATGGGTTCGATTCTCGTCGAGGTCACTTAATTATTCTCTATGTTCAAATTGACAGTTTTGGGACAGATGGTTTCTGAGTGATGCCTTCGTATTGGGTCACAATATTTTATCACGAAAATAAAACGGAAATACTAAAACCGGAGAATTTTAAATAACATCGATGTTATTTCAATTCAGAACGTTACGTTAAACGATGAATTACTGTGTTTAACCAATTATACTTAATGTACAACTTTGCAGTATAGGGATCCTTAACATACCCACTGCTTGTTTCAACTGCATACTTTCCTTCTTTCTTAGTTGCCATGGTAACTTCTTCTTTTATCACAGGATTGCATCGAAATACACAGTAGAAATTATTTTTTTTATGTTTCGCTCCTCGATTTAATTCAGACGGATAAATATTTACTTTCATTAAACGAAACTTTAGACAAATTGTTTTTAAGAAAAAATTTTTAACAAATATATTAATACATTTTTCTTATGACCCTTAAACTTCAAGTCCTACTTTAAAAATTTAGTGTGTATTATAACATGTAGTTATGGAGAGTCATACACCAATTCACTCCTTTTTGGCATTATTGTGATATAAATCACAGTTTAATGTCAATCATCATTTTCAACATAAAATTGACATCTTTGAGCTATAAAAAACGTGGAAAAAGTTGTAGAATAGATCTTTGCAACTAAAAATAGCTCATTTTTGGTATTGTAGCATTTTGGCACTGTGCGTAAGGTACAGGTCAGAGTTTTATAGGTGGAGACTTCTAGTACGAAGCAAAATCTTCAGGAGAATGCTCTCTATGGATTGAGTTTTGTGGAATTATATCGTGGAAGTTTATATACTATTATATAGATAGATAGATTTTTATGGCAACCGCTTCAGCCTACTTGACCTGGAAGCCGGGGCCACCCACTCACCACCTATGTGTGGGGGTGTATTGCCACACCATTTTCCTACCTCAATTTTTCCTGCGTGCACTGAGTAAACGTCTCCGGTGCTAACCGTGTCAATAAGGCTGACACTCCCTGCGCCTACTGGCGCATCCGTGCATAGTTCACTCCGTACAGTCTCTTCCCGGATATGTCGCCCTGTACACTGGCGAGAATCCTCGCCGGTTAAGCCGACGCTCTCTGCCGCAGCATCGAGTTGAGGCATTTAGCTTCACCGAGCGGCACCATGGGGTCAGCTCTGCGCCGGTAAGGCCGAAGTTCCCTGCCAATGGCATCGGGTCCTCTAATCCGCTAGCTACCTCCTCTTTACTCCCTACCTTCTACTGTCTCGCATTTGCCCAGGTCCAAAGACCTGTGGTGCAAGGAAAAACCTGGATGTGTATACCAGTGGGTTCGCACTAGAGGTATACCCAGGGAAAAACCCGCCCCGAGACAGCCGGATCTCATAAGGTCCTTATCCCGCCGCATGACACTCGAAAAGAAACCGACTGCCCGCACCGGGATTCGAACCCAAGGCTCCTCGAGCGGCTTATTGTTTCCGAGGCTAGCACGCTAACCACTGAGCCAACGACCGCTCCAATTTTATATACTATTATTGTGGACGTATATTCACACAGTTCGAAAATAAATAATTTACTCTAGATCATTTGAAATGATTTAAAAAAAAAAAAACAAAATGCATAATTCAACGTGAAATTTCCCGCTCTTTTCAAATCTGCAATAAAAATGGGAGGTTACGGTGTGAAAAATTAATTTTGGTTCACATTAGCTTTGAGGTTACGTTCAAGGTCAAATTCAAGGTCACTTTTCGATTTTTTATCAAAAAATACGTCGGATAGGAGGTTTTCGATTTTTTTAAGCACCTCTTGTGAGTGATTCTACTTTCTTTAAAATTTCAAACTTACCTATGCGAGGGTCTCTGGTTAATAAACAATTTTTTTTCTGACATCAAATTAAAGGTCTAGATGTCATCTTTCAACCCAATGTATAAGAGTTAATTTTAAGAGTTAATTTTAAGTTAATTTTAGAAAATTCAAAAATCGCCTTGAGGCAAGAATTAAAATTTTTTAAATGAGCCAAAATTTTAGGGGAAGTATTTTTTTGATACCTTGAAACTTTTAAAGGGGCGCCCCGGATAATTATTTTTCCTTTTTTCGATCTTAAAACTACTTATGTACAATCAATACCTGTAATGATAAAAGAAACAACATTTTATGTCTCTACCACGATGTTTCTCGTCTGATATACTTTCACTAACTGTTCCCTTAATCTATCTTATAACTATACTATTTACAACGTTCTCATCCCCACTGAAGACTCTATATAATATTAAAAAAAAAGTATACGAGCGTAGAATTTGTTTTACATATATACTGGGAGAATCGCGATAGATGCCCCAGCGGTGTGCACGAGCGCGCAAAACAGCCAAATCGCGCAGTTTTTGATTCGCTGAACGGACTTCATATTCTATCTACAAAAATACACGGGTAAGTGATTTCGATGTGTTTTTTTCTCAACTTTCCAGTCGTGAGGTCAAAAATGCCAAAACCAACCACCATAACAACAAAAAATGGACTTGAACTTGAAACACGCTGTATCTTATTTGCCTCCAGGTTTAGAGTTTTTTTGAGGGTCAAGATCGAAAAATCTCGCGACTTTTCTTAAGAATCAGTAATAAAAAAAGGGACATTTTTTTATAAAGGCCACCAGTGAAGAAAAGAAGAGCGCGCGGTCGGCCGTTTTCGAGCGCGGCGGACTGTTTTTTCGCTACATTTTACGTTTCTTTACCTTTCACGCGTTAGGCTTTCGCCATCTAAATAAACAAATACATGTTTTTTGTGTATTTTTTTCTCATCTTTCCAATGGTGCAATTAGTTTTTGGAAAATTGGCTTTTTTGATGTGGCTGTTTTGCGCACTTGAACATACTGCTGGGGCATGTATCGCTATTCTCCCCATATGTGGCGACTACATTCAAGAGTGACTTCAATTGTTATTCTTATTAATTCGAGAAGTCAACTACGTAAATGTAATTAGTTACCGACCGACCTCCATAGTTATCGCATCGTCTCTGGACATTTTCAATAAACGATTCGTTCCTTTTACTTGTGACTAATAATTAATATTTATAAACAATTCATTATATTTATCCCATATATATGGCTTGAAACTAGAAAAAATTTCCTATAAAACTAAAAATAATCGTCTCGATACGATCAAAATGGAAAGAGATAGAATCACTTAAAAATTGACAAAAAGTGACAGCATGAACAGTATCCGAGTAATTGAATCAAATGGCGGCTGGTGACAAAGTAAATCAATGGGGAAATTGTGAGTAAGTACAATTTTTTAAATCCTATTTTAAATTCTGATTGATACTCATCATCAACTGCAGAATCTAGAATAATATTCTTCTTTTTTTAGTTAATAATTTCAAAATTCTTAGACCAACTTCAGTTACAATCTTATAAGATACTCTAAGTTAAGTTATAATACACAGTTCGGGACAAAAACACCGTTCCACTATAACTATAGCATGAAGCTATAACTATACAATATTGCATATAAAACGTTTTTCGGAATTTTTATTTCAAAAATCTTCAAAGAAAACAAGCATGATTTCTTGTAATTTTTCGAAATATATCCACCATTTTATTAATCTTGCAATAACCAAAAATCGCTCTAAAAATATGTAATAATTTTTAGTTGTGAGATGAATAAAAATTAAATAACCTACTTTCATGTGACTCGATGGTTCGTCTATCTGTAGAGCACTTAGAGAATGACAGCGTCTTTTACTTGTAGACATGTCCGAGTTCGAAAGAGATGAAATGTCTGACTCAAAAACATCGTCATCATATTCATCATCTGGAACTTCCGTTGAAGTCTTTAAAAATTGATCATTAGATCCACAACTAAATATTGTTGGAACCGGAGGTGCACTCAAAGGTGGACTCAAACTAGAAAATGTTATTTTTGAGTCTAAATTGTTAGTTGTGAGAGTAGAACTACCTGCAAATAAAATTAAAGGTTTAGAATACACCCTATGATTTTAAATAATAATAGTTCTGTAAAAGTTATCCCTTAATCACTCTAATAAATACTGGCAGTTAAAATAAAATAAAAAATATATCAAAAATTATTTTTAATCATTGTCGTCGACGTTGCTTTTTCCGGTATTTTTAAGGGTAGATTCGTTTTTGTTATTTGACAAAAATGGGTGCAGACAATTTTGAAAATAGAAGTGGAGACAATTGAAGTGTATTACGCACCAAATAAGACCAAAAAATCATTTATTTTATGTTTAATTTTGATTCTTGAAAATGTGAGAATTTCCTGACGTTTTAGACCGTAACCCATTAACGAGGGAGGACACGATTTTGATAATCAACTTTGCGTTCTTACAATGTCTAAATCGACACGAAAAAAATAATGAAAACAACTGTATCTTATAGTTTTCAGGGCGTCTTTCGAACCGTGGTGTTTAAAATAGCGTAAATTAACAATTTATAATTAAAAATTTCATATTTACACAAGAAACGTGTTTTTAGGTAAATTTTTTTTCATTTCAATTTTTAAACAACATATCATTGTTACACGGGAGTAAAATACATACAGAACGTGCTTTTGAGTTCTTTCATTTGAGAAACCATGGTTAGTTTTGTCAAACAATATTTATTTCTAAACAAAGAGTCGGCTTGAATGAAAAAATGGACTTTCAAATTTCATTATTTTTTTTCTCATACACTATTGAGTTTAGCAAAAAAAGTTTATGCAACAAAAACATCTTAGAATTGATCAAGAAATATACTTAAATTTTTGCAGTATTTTCGGAAGTGACTTTGGGAAACCGGACTTCCCAAATTTTCCAGAAATTGAAAAATCGACTCGGAAGAACGCCCTCAAAACTATAAAATATAGTAATATTCATAATTTTTCTCGTATCAATTGAGACATGGTAAGAGTGCAAAGTTGAATGTCAAAATCGTGTCTTCCCGGCATTCATGAGTAAATAGTATATTACGTGCCTAGGGAGCGAAAAACTGGAAAGCCTCAGAGCAGGTGTAATTATCGCCCGAGGCGAAGCCGAGGCCTAGATTTAGTGAATGTGCCTTAAGGCCCACTTTAAAAGGGTTTTCTATTTTATTTAAAAAGCTTTAAGATTTTCTGTATCAAGATAGGAGCACTTAAACAAAAAAATTCACCGATCAAAAAATTGGAAATTTTTCAAAGAATCTGTCTGAATTTTTTCAGAATTTTTCAAATCGTCCATTACCCTTTTTCAAAGAAGCTAATTTGAAGTTTTTCTTGCGTAATTCAGAAACCGCAAAAAAATTTTGGTAAAGATCGATGACCCAAAGGTGAGAAAGTCTCCTTATTAGTTTCACCTTTTCAAGTTTGATTATTTTTTGAGTTATTTTGGGATAATATGTCATACAAGGATGAAAAAGATGTAATTTTGAATAGTAAAAGATCAATGTCAAAAGAAGTAAATGGAAAGAGATTTATTACAATGAATAAAAAGTCAGAACAAATAATATAGTTTTCCAGAATTTACGCTCATTTTTTAATAATATTAGCTATGCTCGATCATGTGATTTTACGAAACATTGAGTTTTTTTCTTTCGGCACCTCTTGCATTTTCAAATTATAAAAGTTTACTCGGAACTAAATTTTTACATGATATAGCAGATTTTATACTTACTTGAATATTTATTTTCCATTGACAGGACCTCATTTGGTTTGCCAGAAAGCTGATTATCAGGAAATTTACTCAAGTTATCGGAAAGGTGCACACGGTTAGAATCTCCTGATAATTGAATTGTATTTATGTAGTCAGAATTTATCTGTTTTCCTTTGCTTCTTATAGGTGCATAGGGCTGCATTTCCTTCGGAAAATAAAATTATTCCAAATTACAAAAGTGAAAATTACGCTTCATCGTATGAAATGTTTCATAAAAAATAAAGTATAAAATGAAAGATTTTTAAATTATTGTCATATGAATTTTTGGTAAATTAAGAAAATTTTTTTAGTATTAAGCAGTTTCGAGTCTCAAAGGAATATAGGTCATATTTTGAAAATAAGGCGCAATTTTCAACATAATTTTTTATCAATATGTAAACAAGATTTAATGTTAATTGAATCAGTACAGTCGTGGAATCAAAAACCAATCTTGCAGCATTTTGCAAAGAAAAGCGTTTAGAATACTGATTAGTGCAAAAATGCAGCTATCTAGCTATCAGAGCAGAATATGGACATCACAAGGATGACGGTTTACCAGTTAATGAATAAAATAAGTCATGTTCCAAAAATAAGGCGTATGCATTTTGAAAAAAAAAAAAAAACATTTAAGGCATGGCATATTTTTGGTAGATCACGGTATTTTATTCGGCCTTAAGGAGGCTCTACACCAATCATAATAATAGAACAGCGAGGCATCTGTCTGTCTCTTTCTCGCATTAGGCAGACAACCGCTTGCACTATTCGAAATCAATGATTTTACGCACATTTTCGCACAAATCTGAAAAAATTCATACGCTTTCCTTGACAAATTCTAAGACTTTTTTGTTCTTTTAAAATTTTTCGTAGAGTTCATGCTTATTGAGATAAAAAATCGCAAAGATTCATTGCTTGAAATTGTTTAAATTTGAATCATTTATAGCTCGTTAACAATAGATTTTAGAGAAAATTTGCAAGAGCACTTTTTTGTTTAAAATGACCCTAAAAACCTTAAAAAGTGGGTTTCAGGTCAAAAAATTTTTACTTTTGCAATGTTTTTACATTAACTTTTCTCAAAAACCGTTTGGTTAAGTTTTTCCAGTTTTTGAGCTATGTTTTAGTACATACTGAACAATCATCTCCTAGTTTTTGAAAAGAATTTATCGATGCGTTTTTTTATAATCACACAAAAAAGCGTCTTTTCGATACGCTAGCATAGGGATCTCATGTTAAAGTACCGAACTTTGATTAATTATATTTCGGAAATTGTTTGGTTAAATTTCCTGAAATTTCTCACACATATGAAAAGCACTGTCAATAATATGTGGTTAAAATTTCAAGACCCTTTATCGATAGTCATTTTTTTGAGGGAACTACCTTAATTACTCATCAGTTAGTTCGTTAAGGGGTATTTTTTAAAATACCAATCGAAAGCTTGGAACTTTTTATTTCAGAAAATATATTTTTTATTAAGATGGTTGATCTTTTAAATTAGTTATAAACAATAAAAGACCGCGTCCCAGAAGAGCCCGTGTTAAAATCGCCATTTTCAAACTTGTTTATCTCGAAAGTTTGATCGTCAACCATATGTTTTTTTTTTGGAATCTCATTTTGAAGATCTAACCAATCAATTGACATAAATTTTATCTTGTTGGATGATCTTTTGTATTTTGTGTAGAGCCTCCTTAAGGGGACCCTGCCGGGCTCAAGTGGCAGTGTGACAAATACAATGAAAAATTAGAATGATATGCCATAATAAGCATTAATGTAGCAGTAATTTAGTAATAAAGTAATAATAGTTTAGCAGTAATATAGCAATAATATAGCAATAGTGTAGCATTAAAATATTACCAATAGAAACAAAATCATTATTTCTAAAAAAGGCATACATGACAAAAATTATTCTAGACAGCAGAATAAAGCATAAAATGAAGGCTTGATGAATATACATGATTGGATGAAGCGAAGATGGTGCTAATGATTAGGTGTACATTGAGCAGGATCTCTGTGAGTATAATTAAAGAATAGGTATTACGTGATAGAAGGTAGATCAATTTTAAGGTCATTTTCTGAAAGAATGGCCATGAGTTGGGAGTTGGGTAGCTTTCGAATGAATACGGTGAGGTTACGAACAAATGGTTTGGCATAGCTTAATTCGCAAATCACTGAGAGTGCTTTGGTATACAGCAAATGTATTTGCTTTGGCCAAAGTGGGCGCATAGAGAGTTTTCCCTCACCATCCGTGTTGAAAAGTTTGATTACGACTGCTTGACAGCCTATGAGAGCGCGAGACGATTGTGAAGTTGTGTAGTAAAGTAGACGATGCTGGCGTTTTTATAGTGCATAGTTTAGCAGTGAAGAGAAAGAGTAAGTGAAATATCGTCAGGTATTGCGATTTAAAAGATGAGTGAGAGCTTCTTCTGTTCTTATTGTTATTAGTTCAGAATGTGTAGTCTTACGTATGAAAACTAAAAGATAACGGATAACTGTTCAAGCAAAATATATTTGTTGTGATATGGCGTTGGCTTAACTGAGAAGAATATGCACTTCTTTGAGACACAATAGGCGTAAAGATAGCTTAGTATTACTACCATAGCTGCAAAGGGTTGAAGAATTAATTGTAGAAAATTTGTGTGACTGAGAAATAAAGTGATCGCGAATATTTCGTGAGGAGCATTTAAAAACTAGAAATCTAGTTTTACGCTTATTATTGATGTTGGTGGGGATTGGCTTTTTGAGGGACCATTTTCTTGTTTTTGCGATAAAGTGTGTGTGATTTTTGAGGCCAATCGCGGAAAAGGCTCTGTTGAGTTTCTCCTTGTCGGGGAGATCGAGGATGGCCGATAGACCTGACAACAACACCTCGCAGTCATCTCTTTAATGTGAAGTACCATCCTGAATGTGTATGATACGTGGGTAAGTCGTTACATGAGGGGAAAGGGGAAAAGAAAAAAATAATAATACAAGAATTGACTGCTGTTTGATTGCAGGAGATCGAAAAAAGGTATTGTATGTTCATGATAAAGCGGACTTTATAAGATCAAATTAAAAATAGTTAGCGGCACATAAATTGTATGTGAATTACACTAAATTAAAGGAAAACGTATGAATTTTACGATGGTGTACTGATATAAGCGATTAAAGATAAAAATTTGAAATTGTAAAGGTGAGAAATATAGAGAGAACATTTTTTTTTGGAATTTAGGTTGAAAATTAATCATATCATAAAGTTACTTTTTTTCAACGATGATTTGACTCTAGAAATGAATGAAAAATCGTAAAATTGGTCGATAATAAATTTTTTTCGCTCACTTGGAAAAAAAGATTTTATGCTACAGCGCGAAGAAGAAGACACCCTTAGCAACGGCTTCCAACAATTGACTAATTGCCGTCCGAACGAAATATTTCTTTTCCAAACGTTAAAATTCGGATAGTATAATTTTCATTACAAATTCGTGAAATTCAGCAAAAACAGTAAATCAATTCGCCGTTGATTGAGTATTTGAATAAATCCAAAAAATTACAAGTTTATCAACCAACGACATGAGAGATAAATAAATCTTAATAAAGTAGATTTGTCAACATGTGATCTAATTTGTGTCTGTTACGATAGTATCACGCGACTCAGCTGACTATATAGATCCAATCGCTGTTGATTGAGATTATTAATAAATCCACAACATTTTTTGATTATCTGCCGTCGAATAAACAAGATAAACAGAGTCATCTCCTTCGCGAGTCGATTTGAAAGCGCGTACGCCATTTTCAGCCTGCAATGTCGATTTCGCAAGATTCGGCCCTCTATATAAATTAAATCGTCCTTGAATGAGTTTTTTAGTACATTCACCCAAAAGCAAAATTAATACAGCAACACATTATCGGGAAAAATAAAAAATCTCGGTCTTGATAGTCGATATTTGCAGGTGCCCGTCACGAAGGTTTCACGCGATAAAACCCTTTCGATCGATCAAATCATTGTTGATTGAGTTTTTGAATTAATCGACAAAATTACAACTTTATCCGTCATAGACTTAAAGAAATAAATAAAATTTCTGTCTTTATGGGGTGGATTTGTTAACGCGTATGCTAATTCTTTCCTGCTATGATGGTTTCACGCGATTCAGTAGGATCAAATCGCCGTTAATTAAGATTTTCAGTAAAATTACAACTTATCTATGTGGCATATGCTTGCATAAATCGACTCGCTGTCAATATGAACTTTAACGAGAGAGCGCACACATATGCAAGTGCTGCTCGATGTAAGTAAGATGATACCGACTAAATATTGTTTTTCGGCATGCGCATATAATATGTGGAAAATAAATTGGGAAAAATTATGCTTACGTGAAAAAGCATTATACTAAAAGGTAGACGCAACAATTGTAATAAACATATAAATATATAATGACGCATAGAAATGCATTCTGTAATTCAACAGGAGTTGCAAGTATTAATACGTGTAAGAACAGTATATAAGCTGGGCAAAAATTGTTTGGCTGATCAGATATTACAGTCGAGTAAGGCGAAGCTTTGCCAGTCTGATCCTCAAATCATTAAAATACGACAAACCCTTTTAATTTGTTGATTGCACTTGAACTTATACAAAGTTATATAAATTACTATAAAAATATTTATTACAAAACACTTCCAACCGTTACCACCGGTGAGATTCTGTCCGTTCAGCGATTTAAATTGTACTATACGAATAAAACCAAAGTCCACTTGAGTGTGTTCAAGTGTCACAACAGATTGTGTGGAACTGGGATTTCCAATAAACGAGACATCAGGCCGACATTACCCAAAGTACCTTCATGAATTTTGACAAATTTTTTTGGGCTAAAATGGCGTTATAATCGATACATATAGAAAATAGACGTTTATAGAGGGAAAGGGGGAAGGGGTCTAAAATACTGACTATAGGACTCTTTTACTTCGCAATATAACACACCTAAAGCGTGTTAAAATCGAAGACAAGCATGTAGAATAAAATTTGAAAAAGTATTAATTTGACCCATCTACTTATAAAAAAGAGATGGATCTCAAAGTGAAGCCCCATAAAACGGTCTCTGATTGGCTGACACAGATGGCAAATGTCAACAGACAGTTAGTACCCAAGTAACCCAAGGTTGTATAAAATCCATGGAGAGAGATGGCGCAGCTGTCGAATAA